TTATTTTTTCACACGTGTGTAAAAAATGTCTTTTGTTAGTGTCTTGTACAAATAATAGTTTCTAACATAGAATACTGAGAAAAATATTGGCGGGGTTGAAATATGTTATTTTGGCCATTGTAACTGTAATACTACCAAATATAGTTCTCTAATGCATTTAGCTTGTATTCATTGTTATCAAACATGATGTAGAAATGTCACACTATTAGCTATAATATTTAGCTTTTAACTTTGAAATAGCTGGTTCATGTTATGACAATAATGTAAATCTTCACAGGAGTTAACCTTCATAGGAGCTAGTATAAATTCTGATTAACTCTCTCAACACGGGCTTGGTCAGTTTGACCGACCATGTGACCTCTTTATACTCGATTAAAGTCTTTATAGATTTAATACTTCTATCTTTCAATATAGCGTGTACATATTCACAAAATTTGGCAGTCTTTCAGTTCATATTATAAGTCTTTTACATACAAAAAATCATATTTTTTAATGAAGTATTTTTAATAAAATAAAATAAAGATTTGTTCATTAATATATTGAGTATTTGTTTTGAATAGTCCATATGCAAAGTAATTTTCATGTTAAAATAAAAAATACTTTTCCTCATCTCAAATTTCCTTTGTGTAATCCCTAAAACCTCCTAAGTGCATTCAAACGTTTTTTATGAGTAAAAATCTATAGATTATCTATTATTTTCTCTACCCTATCTCAAAGCAGGATCGGTCAATTTGACCAACCTCATAAAACGAAATAAACCTTGATTACCCTTTTTTCTTTCTAGAATGACTTCAAATTGTAACATGAAACTACATTCGTTTATCCTAAGTAGCTCTAAGTTCATAACAGCATACATCTATTTATAATTAAATTCTATTGTTTCATTGCTCTTTGAACCGTGTCTAACTACTATCCGCACCATTGTAAGTTATAAATCAGCTCACGTTATGCTATCGAATTACATCACCCAAGAGCTGATCGTGTGCTTGCCTCGTGAACCATTTTAATTATAT